ATCATCAGCGGGGTCATTCAAGGGAGTGTGCTTGGTCCTTCACTTTTTTTACTCTACATAAATGACATCACCACATTTGTGAAACATGGTACGCCATTTTTATTTGCTGACGATATCAAGATCGTGTATAAGCTACGGCGTGACGAGTTTTATGAGACGCTACCGCTCATTCAAGATGACTTACATTCCCTCGAGTCATGGTGCTGCACATGAGTGATGAACCTTCCGGCTAAGAAATGAAGCATCATGTCTTACGGCTGCTGCATCCCCGAAGGATCTATCACACTAAACAATGAACGCGTCCCTACACAGTTGTCCACGAGAGATCTTGGAATTAGGTACCCGTCTACGTTCAATTTTTCCCAACAGACCCAACACCAAGTAGCACGTGCCAGACAATCTACGTTCAAGATAACAAACAAAATCCACACAAAGCATGTTAGAACTGAGCATTTCAAGCTACTCACTCGCCCCACACACGAATACTGCAACATAAGATACGGTAATATGAGAAAAAGTGACAGAATTGCTGTGGAACACCTGCAGAGGTCATTTACATCTGATTGGTAAACACTCTGCTATGAGTTATTGAGAACGTTGCAAAGAACTTCATCGCGAACCACTTTGGATTCGACGATTGAAGCAAAATTTTTGCTGCATACTAATATGTTACACAAAAAGATCTATTCCGACCTGCATACACTCGAATTACAACATTGCTCAACTCGAGCACTTCGCAACAAAAGTTTTACACTGAATATACCGAAGGTTAGAAAGAATGTCCGCTCTAATTTCTTCCTGGTCAGATACAGCTATCTGTGGAATAAACTACCAATAACACTCAGGTCGTGTCATCATCATCATCATACACGTTAGCTAGAGGTGGGGAACACCTCAGCTACTGTGCCGCAATATATAGAAGAAAGAAAAAAAGCAACTGGTGCAAGCCGGCTGAGCTCCTGGTAACGGATGGGCATCGTTCCGGTAAGCTACCAGCCGGCTACTGTGCATCAAAAGAATTAATATGCAAAATTATATAAGGTTAAAGAATGAGATCGAGGTTGGAGGGGAGGATAAGAGGGATGGGGTGGAACAAAGAAACTCACAGCAGGAACGCCACTGAGGTCGGCTCCTAGCCATATCAGCAAGTGTGTCCAACCAAACATGTTCACCGTCTTTCGGACTCCAACCAGGGAGCCGAGACGTTCCAACCGAGGCCAGCTTCGAAGTGAGGGCCTTCATTCCTCTGGACCAATTCATCGCTTGGCCACCCCTCCTCTTCTTCCATCCAAACCCCCGGCGCGCAAATAACGCACGTCGCGGGAGTCGGTGGACTGGCATACGTAACACGTGGCCGAGCCATCGGAGCCTGGTGCGTGAAATAACGGTGCTCAGCGATTCAGTTCCTTTTCCTGTGTCATAAACAAGGCGTCGAACACGCTGGTTGCTCACGAGGTGTTCCCACCAGATGTGAGCCAAATTACGAAGGCACCGGACTCAGGTCGTATGACAATGCGGTAACAGTTGGAAGCAGACTGTCTATTTAACTTGATCTAAATACCATAATCGCTAGTTTCAGGTGGGAAAATCCCTCGATGAGCTATTCCAAGTGGGGCCCAAACATCTAAACACCAATGTTTTCAAAACTATGCTGTTGCCACAACTATCCACCAGATGGTAAGCACATGAAACGCATACCACAATATTCCACTTATGCATGTGACCCATGCAAGAGTATGGATATTTTTGTACAAATTGATCTGTGCTGCTACCGATACAGTTTTGCGCATCAGGAGAAATATGCGTGTCATTATCATCGTTATTTTCATATCCGGTGTTTGAGAAAATCTCTAAAATAATACATTCACATGAACCAATTGAATTTGGAAGCATAGTGCACCGATTGGAAAATACACTGCTTAGCAGACGAACGAAGCATGTTAACATGCAAGTGTGAGATGTTTCCAGATGACGGGAGATGTACTTGCCCCCTGTAATCATACTGTATGTGATCTAGGCACATGCCACTCTTGAACGCCGAATTTTTGTGAACAAATTGAATTCATAACGGCTAGATTACGAAGAAGTGCAAAAGCCGTTCACAAATTAGTAGCGATACGTGAACCGAAGCTGCATTTGTTTGAGATGTGCCTTCGTCCTGTGATAGAGCATTGCGCGCTTATTGACACAACAAACCGCGGGAAACGCCTACAGAACATGCAGGGCTCATTCACTAAGACTCTTGTCAACTCCTTATCCAAACTAAAATATGCCTAGCGTTGCAAGAGGTTACAACTGGTGCCGCAGTGACTAAGACGCATGGAGCTAGGAGTAGCATTGCTTTATCACTTGGCACATAAGCGTGTATTCGCACAAAACATCAGTAGGCACTTTAAAGAAGATGGAAAATACGGAATTCGGATTGCCAAGTACACACACCCAATGCTCGAAAAGAGAAGTAATGTTTGAAGAAATTTATAAATAAACAGATACTATGAAATATGGGACCATCTTCCAGTTTAAATAAGAGTCTGGGAATGGTAACCAGCGTTCAAAAAGGTAGTTTTGACTGACTGACGGTACAATGTTGATGATAAATTGCGATTAAAATATACTACTTGTGGAGGGGCCGAGGCATAGATGTGTTGAATTACAAATGCGCACAAAACGCTCTACGTGTAGTGTCTCTACTCGACCGGACCGGCTCAAAATGTATCAAAAATGGTGATGAAACGTCGACAGAACCCTATTCTGTCACAGAGACGAAACGGTTGACTACGATGGCGCGAGATTAGCCAGTTCACGTGAGCGGCTGCTATGGTCAAACCGGAAGCTGATGAAATCAGCTGGTCAGCGTAACACAGAATGCTAGGTGACAAGCGTGAGTGAGTGCGATGACAGCTGGCAATTGCGGCCCGCTAACAGGTATGGAATCGCTTCAGGCAAGTGGCGTGACTCAACTCGGAACGTACAACCGGAGATGATAGAACGAGACCTATAAAATAACCCATGTTCTGTCTCTAATATAGTTCGGTCTAGCAGGATCCGGTATTCCGTTTTGTCCCCGGCTGAGTTGGCAGCGGTAGAGAGCGGAGGGAAAGCAGCGATACAACATATTCACTTTTTCTTCACTCAATGCAGATTAGTTGTTTACTCGGGAAAACATACTTAACAGACACAGCAACAAATGTGGGCTGTGAAGGAATTGTAAGCGTAGAGCAATGTAACAATATTTCGTCTCCACTGTTCATATGTTCTGCTTACTCAGTCACGCCCAGCTGACAGCCAAGCTAACAAGTGTGCACCGGAAAGGTATCGACAATTGAACCTATACGAATACAATCATTTGTTCTTTGTTTTACTCGACCAAGCTTACTTTGTGACTCTCGTGCAAACATGTCTGACAGCAAGAAGAAGCTGACCGATTCATCAGCATCTTCGTCCCTACTTCCGACAATAGTTTCTTCTTTATTTCATTACTCGCATACGCCTAGGGTACAGGTAGACCAAAAAGGCCTTAAACAATGTCAAGCACGTTGGTCACACAGAAACAACTAAATGATCTTTCCTTCTGATTATCTTGGTCTTCATGCACAAATGCAAAAATAGATACATAACATTACTTTTTACTACCACAGTGTAGAACATCACGATGAAAATAAAAAAATTTATGTACAAAGTACTTGCTATATTTCAGTTGTGAATATTATGAGTCTTAATGTTTCTCTGATCATCACACAATTGCTCTCCATCCCTCAACCCAACGAAAAATAAAAACTCGGCTTTGTCCGTACATAGAGCTCTGCGTCAGGACGCCACAAAGTACTCTAGACCCAGTTGAAGCATTGAACCAGAGAATCATCAATGAGATGGTTCCTATTTTCGTGACACATTTGGACTATATCCTGTAGGTATCATGTGAAACAATTGTAAAGAAAAGTAATCACGCCGAAGAGGCCGTGCTTCGTGAACCCGAGAATATACATTAATAATAATGATAGCACTAGGAATATTAGCATTATCATATGTCGCAGATGCTGCTTTATCTTCCCACGATGACCAGTTATTTATGCCCGTGAAGTGTTGATAATGTACAGGTGGTATCTTTACTCTGATTATCCAATTGGGTGATCAGGTCAAACAGTAGGTATTCCTCATTGGTGGGTTCTTTGTGCTTGTGTGGTGGGGGCATTAGCACAAAGCATTAATGCAGTTTCTTGGCGAGGATGATATCAGCTCCCAACAATGTCTTGTTGTTCTCAAATGAGTTCGTCACCATGACACGAGCTTGTGCCAAGAAGCAGTGCAACTCATTGGGCTGCGATGTGCTCCAGGATTGTGAAGATCCGTCTATCAATCAGCATAATGAAATGGGAGCGATATGTAAAACATACGGCAGGAAAGTAATGAGTAGGGTGAGTTTTCTATATTGCTCACCTCACCGCCCAACACCGACACCTCACTACCGACGGTTTCGTCCTAGTTTGAACTCATCAGATGGAGTTAGCCTGAGTAGGGGTGGAACTCGGGGTCTAGTGGTTAACGGCTGACGTTTTGATCACTAAGCCACTAAGATTTGTGAGCAATGCTTGACATCTCGGCAAGGAATTCAAAGTTAGATTTGGAATACCTGCCGTGTGGTTGGATTGCGACACGTAATCTCTATGGAGACCTGGGGTTCACTTTGAGGTAGACCTTGGTCACTCCGATAAGCAGTACCTTATCCGAAGTGGAGGAGTTACTGTATTGCTCCTCCGAACACTGACAGCCAACTAACGGTTTCATCCTTGTTTGCACCAATCAGGTAGAGATATCCTAAGTTGAAAGCGGAACTCGGGACCTAATGGTTGACGGGTGATGACTTGATCACCAGGACAATGAGATCCTGAGAAACACATGACAAAGCGGTCAGGAGTTCAAAAGTAGACTTTGCAGCAATCCAAAGTGCAATCGTGAAAACAACGAACAGATTCCAAGCAAGGCAGACACACTTCACTCACCGAAGCAATTAAGGTAGCAGCATCCGGATGAATGGAACTCGGCAGAGATAGCTCTGCGAAGCGAATACGATCAGCGATTACTTGCGGGGTTTCGCCAACAAATGGAACTTGGCCGGTAAGCATTTCAAAAGTCAAAATGCCCAAGCTCCACGTGTCCACAGTGTGTTCGTAGCTGGATTCCGGGTCGATTACTTCGGGAGCCAAATAATCGAGGGAGCCAAAAGGAGCGGTTCGCCTTAAGTAAACGAGCAAGAAGTAGGTCAAGGACCAAGGAAGGTGCAAAATGATAGCGCACTCCAAAACAAGGATTGTGCGAATAAAAACTCACCTGGAGGCCGGTCGATGTACTGCACTGCCGAAATCGGCTATTTTCACTTCGCCCCGGGGTCCCAGGAGAATGTTTTCTGGTTTAATATCTCGATGGATAACATCATTCTGATGGAGGTACTGGATTGCGGAGGAGAGCTGATATACATACTGGAAAGAAAATTGATATCTGTGTCACGCACAATAATGCAACGAAAATGTAATGTTCTGTGTATTCATAAGTCGATAAAAGTAAGACGTTATCCAGCAAAATTGGGAGAAAAAATAAAAGATTCAGAAACCGAGAAACCTTTTGAGGTACCAGCAAATCTACCAGTGCCAAAAATAACAGCAAAGAAACTGAAGACGAACATAGGGATATAAAATCGCGTGCGCAAAGATCATCTGTGCGTTAGTAACAGCTATAGCTACGAGACGACAGAGATGATATCGGTAGGATATCTGCGGTTCAGGACAAAGTATCTAATCTAATGTTATTTGAGAAGCAACTATCGTAAGGAAAAGGAACCACTAAACGTTGGATCAAAAACAAAAGAAAAAGCAAACAGATTAGTGACTCAAGTACTTGAAAGCTGGTACACCTGAAAAAGATAAAAGCGTTCCGAACACACCGCAAAACGTCCATGCGGTGAACAAGATACTCCAGAGAGAATGGAAATGTGCCCGTGATAAGCAGTGTCAAGCTTTTGTGAGTTGTGCTCATCGTTTGTTTTTCCAGACAACGTAATGCAGTGACGAAGCGAAAAACCGTCGAGCCATTGGAGGTTTGCTGGTAACATCACCAACACTAGTACATTAAAATATGGGATTAATATTTCGCTGGGGTTTAACTATAAGGATTTATAGAATGATGAATAATGAGACGGCACAGTAGTTGAGGTGTTTTCCACCTCTAGCTAACGTGTATAATGATGAATGTAGAAGGGAAGAAGGGTGTAAATACCGCGAAAGTCCGGAACAGAACATACCATGATGGAGATCACGACAAAGTTGAACAAAAAGGAGAGACTGTGCAACCCTAGAGAACAATACTTATCATGCGGAGGATAGTTGACAATACGCCACATAATTTGAAATGACCTACAGTGTTTGAATATAGGGCACATAGAATTATCACACGATTGATGGAACATTGTTCTAGACAAGTGTATGGTAACGTGCGCAGCACCGACGCGTCGCTGCCGTGCAACCACTACCAGTAGCACGTGGGCTAAGTATACCGCCAGGGTCACCCGGTCCCCAACGCAGGCTGGAACGCGTGTCCTCAGATTACAAGGCAGGCGTGTGATCTCTTAGGTCACGGGCCGGCAATACGATGGGAAGTCGAGGGTACGGCAAATTGTTCCCAAGCTCTTCTGTTCGCAGGAATATCGGGCGAGAGTTTAACTGTGCGGTGTAACTTCAAATAACCATCAAAAATAGTGAATGCTATCTGAGGAGCATACGTCGGTGTACACTCCAATAGCTTGTAACTTGAATAAGGTGAAATAGGAATTAGGTCAACAGCAGTCATCCATTTAACCAGGAACATGGACATTGTGGCGGAGATAGCCGATATAAAGATAGCAGCCTACCAGAGGCCAAACAACAAGGACATCATACATAGAATGCAGTCAATAACGTTAATAATAGAGAGTTAATTTCGAAACCAATACAATCATCATCAATACACATTAGCTGAGGGTGAGAAACACCTCAGCTAATGTGCCGCAACACAAAAAGCAGAATACAAAAAAAATCAAAAAAGTGGGTTATACAAGATTAAATTTTACGTCACGCATTAAATATGAGATTATGATTGGGAGGGGGAATCTAAGGGAGAGAGGGATGGACAAAGAAACTCACTGGAACCGGCGGTTCGTCATATCAACAAGTGTATCCAACCAAATGTGGCCATCGTTCTTATGACCCCATCCCGACAGTCGGGATACACTTTTCCAAATAGTTACTGTATTAGTTTCACCCTCAGTCACTCATGATCATCATGCTATAGAGTCTCGATAGTCATCGTAGCAGTCGAATCAGTGAAGTCAGGCAGGCTTCCGCTCCCGTAAGCATTGTATTGGCTGTAGCTGCATCCTTCTTCATCAGGTGTTGTGGCAATAGCCAAATGTATACAAATCACCACTACGGTCATCTTGATCTGAAAACTGTATTTAATGCCATAAGACACAAGTGTTTATGTAAATTCGAAAGTTTGGAAAACATCCCTGATAAGCCACTTTGTACGAAGTCGCTATATCAGAACGCCCGGGGTCATGTGCCGGCCCGTAACCTTAAGGATCACAAACCTGTCTTGTAATACGAGAGTGCGAGTCCGAGCACACCTAGGGAAACGCGCGACTCTCGCAGTATCCATAGCCCACGAGCGATCGGTGGTGGTTGCGTGCCAGCGAAGCGTCGGTACTACGTAGCGACGCTCTGCTGATGCATGCCCCGTGGTCACGTACCAGTCTACGGGAAACTGTTACCAGGAAAACTACCAATAGTTGGTGTGCCTCATGATTACAATATCTTCACCGCTCTAACTCTGTGATCGGAATGATCACAAATACACTACATTACTTTCTTCCATTTCTATATGGAAGTCAGCTGACACATACGGAAGCTGCGGAACACGCTGTGCAGCGGAGTCTTGCATGGTTAGAAAACTCATCAGAAACTTGTGATCAGTTGACACTTGGGCAGACTAAATTCTGTTTGTACTGTAGTGGTGCCACAAACGAACGTCTTTGTACTGCGCAGTTCAAGGGCGTTATACATACCGCTTTCTGCTGCACTACTCGTTGTTGTTTCAGATAATATCTACGTCCGCAAATGATAACCACTCGCCGGACTCGGGCTCACAGGTAAATGCAGATTCTGATACGCGTCGTTGAAAGCTTTCAAAAGCTCTACAGCCTGCGAATTTGAGTAAAAAAGCGTCGTCCGCAGTACGTATATACACTACAACTTTGTTGATGCGCGATTTTAGCGAGTTATGCTCTGATTTCACCATAAAGACACTTGCTAGCAGTGGTCCCGACGGTTACCACATGGTAACTCCAGCACTTCGACGATCTGTCTCCCCATTGAAAACAAACTGTATATTTAAAGCGCAAGTAAGTATCCGTTTTCGAAAGGCGTACAGACGTTCTGTTGTAGTGCTAGTCTCCAAATGGACTCCTCTGGTTCCAATAACGGAATAACTGGGTGTCAAACGATGACATGCAATTGTTGGTAAGGTTCATTTCCTTTGTCTTCTCAATGAACTCAAAAGTATCTTTCAAGCAGTAAATGTTGATTGTTTTCCGTAGCTGTTTCAACTTCCTAATCATCTAATGAGCTGTCAAATGCTGAGGAGAACTAATGGTGTACAAAATCGGACGCAGTGGAGAAAAACGTGTAACCACACTTGGTTCTAGCCTGAATGTCTCAGCTTTTCGAACTCGTCTTGTGATAAAAATTCGTTTGCACCATACATCGGGACGAACCGGTTACTGGTTTTTTCAACGCTTCAGTATTATCATTCCGTTGTTAACTTTAGGAAGATACGCTCGCCACTAAGAATACGCTGCATCTTATTGAAGTAGTCTGCCCTATCAATAAGAAGTACGTCGGAACCTATATATGGTTTAGAGATGAGTAACTCCTTGATTAACCAAAACTCTCTAAGTGATATCATTATTGACTGGTCTGGCCTTAATTTAATCATGACAAGTGTTTACTAAGCTAGACATCATTATCACAACATACTAGTGACAGGTCTCGCACCTGTACTGTTCAGCTCTAAAAATGCACCTGTAACGCAGCCAGGTCGATCCTTTTGCATGGAATGCAAAACTTTGCGCACGACATTAGAAACGTTAAAACGTACCGCTACGGATTACGCGGAAATGTCAGTGGCGAAACTTGGTTATTCAATAAGGTAAGCAACATGTTTCTTTCTTTACACTCCTCTGCTTTGTAACTCCGTCCACGTTCACTGCAACTGGATTCCTTAACACTTCAAGTAAGCCTAGGACGGTAGGTTCCCGCTGTGAAACGAAGCGCTCCAATTCTGATGGCACCGTGTGTTTGTTATCCACATAACTGGATATGTGCCTCGTCAAATCGTGCACATACGGATAGAGACCAAAGCTAGGAGTTTCTTTCCAAAAGAATGCTTTGGATATCGACATGAATGCAGGCACAAAACTTCACCTACTCGTGAAAGAGTTTGTATAAATCAAACGTATGCTTACTTTTAGCAATCCGAAAAGTATTACCTAATAGCAGGAGCCAAAGTGCTGAGTACGGTCAAGCAGGCTTTGAAGATAATTTCAGAGTCATCTGTTCCCTTCCTGAGCAATGCGCTCGCGGATAACGGAAACATCACCTATCTATGCTAAAGTCGTCAGGAAGTAGTAACAACGTGGCCAACGGCTTTATCGCGACCTACCACACCCCAAAGGAAATGTTTAAAGAGGGCAAGAATCTGCATTTGCCGATTATAATCTTACTTTCCCATTACTACTAATGTTTGTGTGCAATACAAAAGTCCTCGGCTTCCTTCGCGATTGAAAGATGAGAAAATACAGTCGTCAGCAGGCAAAAAGCATATAATGAGCTCCAGAATGCCTCGACGATGAAATGTCGAGAAAGCTTGAAAGGCACGCGCTAAATAAGTGTGACATCCCGTCAGGTCGCTCACAACCTAGAGCTTTATCATTAGGGTACCTAGCTGTTTGTGATCGCGTGTCACTGACAAGGTGCATGTGCCCTTGTTCTGAGTGTATGCTTGGAGTCATCATCATCAGCAACAGCAGTACATCAGCCACTTGAACTGGTGCTTCTCAGCCGTACAACCAGTGTGACTCACGGAACAAAGAACAATAATAGGAAGAGAAGGGGAATCTGCGGTAAAAGCTTAATCCCCTAAACAAACACTCGGGATCAAGGCTCCTACACCTTGTTAACAACATACCATCAAAAACAGATGGCTATCGTGTAAAAATAAGGCTGCATTGGCGAGACAGCCGCCTTGCGGCTTTCACTGGTTCGCGTCAAGATCAGCCATTACCCCGCAGATAACTCAGCACCAAACATACTTTAAACAGGCAATCCGATTAGGAGACGGCAGCAGACGAGCCACTGGTGTCGGTTGCGAGCCATTTGTTGTAAAGTCTCGAGCCAAGCACAAGGCGAGTCACGTGGACTCCAGCCCGGAAGGCGAGACGGAGCAACGGCACCCAGTTTGGTCGTCAGTGACTTCATTTCCCGTTACCAAGTCAAATTCCGTCCACCTCGAGTCTTGCGCCACCCTACACCTGTCAGACTAAACAAGACCCTCCTAGGTAAGCGGTGATCAGGCATATCTAACAGATGCCCGAGCCAACGCAACTTAATCAGTTCTATCTGTTTGGCAAAGGAACAAACGAAAGGCGTATGAACTGATCAATCAGTCACCGTCTCCCAATGGGCGCGATTCCCTGAATTCGCTCCGCTGCCTTGCGGACAGGCTATTCAGCCAAAGGCTCGGGGTGGTGTCCCCTAAGTCAACATCCTACTTCGGCTTGGGCAACCGGGTAGTATTTCGCCCTCTGACGAAACCGTGGACATTGTTGTGTTGTGTTGTGTTTTCTTTTACTATTTCTGTACCTTGTTTTGAGTTCCATGGTTTCCGATGGTGCAATGTCTATTCATAGACTGTTGCAAATATATATATATATATATATATATATATATATATATATCTGTTGTTCTAGGGAGCTAGCATGATTATCACCACATAGTACTCGACTACGCACATTATCTTTGCGGACATGCCGGTACCATCCGACACCAGGAATGCTCCGCAGACAACGATGATCAAAGACTTGTAGACGCATCAGGTTTTCAGATGGAAGGAGCCAAGTCTCACTACCATAGAACAGAACGGCCCGTACTGTGGCCTTGTATACACGGTCTTTCAGACGGAGGGAAATGCCCTTTTGTAACCAAAGATGTCGCAGGTTCAAGAAGGCAGCTCCGGCCTTTGCAATGCATGAGTTGAAATCAGTTTCTATGCGCCCATCATTGCTGATGCAGCCGCCAAGATGAGTGAATTGATCAACCACCTAGAGCTCCTCGTTAACAAGGGTCAAGGGGTCACTAAGTGGCTGGTGGTTTTGCAGAAACACTTTGCACTTTGGAGGTGCGAAGTACATACCAAATAATGGGACCACTCTAGACAGGCTATTCAAAGTTGATCGTGCCGCCGAAACATGGTCGAAAAAAAGACGAAATCGTCCGCATAATCAAGATCAACTAATCTTTCACCAGGTAGCACTTCAACGCCTACATCGTGAGATTCCGCAAGGGGACACTAGATGATAGAATCCACGACGAAATTGGACAAGAATGAGGAAATCGGACAACCCTGACGAACGCCACTTGTGGTCGGAAAGCTATTCGATAGGACACCGTAGACCCTGACGCGGCTTGTAGTGTTCGTGTATAGAGCACGAAGGATGTTCATATATTTCGTAGGAACAGCTTTCTGCACAAGTACTTCGAACAGAATGCATCGATCGACTGAATCGAACGCATTCTTGAAATCAAGGAACCCAGTTATTGTCGGTCTGCGGTATGCGTGACGCTGCTCTAGCACCTGCCGCAAAGTGAAGATATGGTCTATACAGCCAAGCCCTAGGCAGAAACCTGCCTGCTCTTCCCTAATCCGAGATTCCCGTTTCACAGTGACGCGATGAATGAGAATGGACGACAGTAATGTTGTCAAAACTGGCGTTAGGCCAATACCTCTGCGGTTAGAACAGTCTGTGCGACTGCCCTTCTTGTATACTGCCATTATAATCGATTCGTTCAAATCAGCCGGGACACTCCCTTCCTTCCAGATACGTTCGAACAGGGAAGTCAGTGCTTTGCAGAGGACCTCACCTCCATGCTAAAATAGTGCAGGTGGGAGGAAATCCGGGCCAGCGGCACGAAAACGATTGGGGGATGTGATTGCGTTTCGGACCTCGGACTCTGACGGAGGCTCTAAACTAACCGTCCATGGCTCGTCCTACATCACATGAGTAGGAAGAGGTCCGGGAGCAGGGGGCCAGCTGAACTGATCTTGAAAGTGTTCAGTTCAACGAGCCATACGGCGCTCCTTATTGTGTATCAGCGCACTCGCGCTGTCTCTGATCGTCTCACTGACGCCTGGTTTCCTGGGACCAGTGGTGTGGATCAGCTGGAAGAGCAGGCAATAATTGCCTACTGCTCTTGCCTCCTCCATTTCTTGAGTCGTACTGGTCCACCAGGCTTCCTTGTCCGCACGTAGGCTCCGCTTTAGTTCGCGCCTAATAGCCCATCTGGTCACATTGTGTTCAGAACCAGCCGGGAGGTTTCTTCTAGATTCCAACAGGTTCACCGACCTCTTGGATATCCAGTGACTGATGCGGTGACCATTGATGGTGCCACAAGCAGATGCTCCTGCATCGTGCATGGCGGCCGAGATCCTATTCCACTGAAGATCAGTGTCTTTAGAACAAGAGAGCGAAAGTTCAGTACGCAGTGCTTCTTGATAGGCTTGCCTGACCGAGAGCTGAGACAATTTCTCAGTTGCCAATCGGAGGGGACGCTTGGTGCGCTTCCCGGTAAAATTAATGGGGAAACGACAGTGTACCAAGGCATGATTAGAGTCGACGCAGGTATTCCAATACGAGCGGCAATCCAGGATGGAACCACGCCATCTGTAACCTATGGCTATGTGGTCCATTTGGGTCCACCGCAGGTCAGCTACAGTGGGAGGCCAAGTGGCACTTCGGCGCCCACTGTGTCTAAAAGCAGTGCTACAAAGAAACAAGTGGTGCTCTGCACACAGTTGTCAGTCCGTTCGGAGTTAAGCCAATAATTACCACACAGCTGAGCTTCTGAAGAGCTCAGACGCCCTACTAGTGCGTTCATTTCCCCAGCGAGTACTATAATATCTGAACTAGTAGTACTGCGTAGTAGCGCGTTTAGTTCGTGATAGAATGTGTCCTTGACAGCATTTGAACTGCAGTCGGTGGGGTCATAAGCGGAAATCACGAACAAACAAGGTTTTGTACTACTTCGTGAATCAACCTTAGCTGATGTTGCCAAACGGGCTGCACATAAACGGCTGTTCATCGGAATCCAATGGACCAACGATGGCTCAGCCTTGGAGCTTAGAATGATACCTACACCACCTTAACCCGTGAGTGCTGCATCGGCGTCTCCGGATGCGTGCGATCAATAGCAAGTGGATAAGCCGGGTGCATTTGATTCAACCTCATTAGGGTCATTGATCCTAGTTTCGGACACGCAACAAGTCGTCATGGAAACGGGACAGCGTGGCCCTATAAGAGACAGTTGCCGACAGGTGTCCGGTGCATATCGCGATAAGGTAAATGCAGATGGTTCTACTTTAGTGGTACTTCGGTTGCTGTCAATTTAGCTGGGAATTATAGAAGGAAGTTTATAATGGGGGTCGGAATGGGAGTAAAACAGGTGGAAAAGAAAGAAGGGAGGCGCCAGTAGTAGCATGTTTGCGCACATCTGCCCTGCTGTATTCAGCAGATAAAGCGACACTTGATAATTTGCGCGACAGCCGATGAAGGATGAAGTTTATATTTGAAGGAAGTCATGGTTGTATGTGAGCTATGATACCGCCAGGGTGTCCAGACCTAGACAGAAGAATGATTAGGGTCCTCACCCAAAGCCTTTGGCTCAAAAGCCTGTCCGCAAGGCAGCGGGGTGGCAATGATTTAGTTGTAAAGAAATGGACGCCATCCCATTTCAAACCCTCAAGCTGCAGGAACAGGAGACTGAGTTTGTCTGACTTCTGACCATTGAGCAACCTGGTAGACGTATCTCTGAAGATGCCCACAGGCACCACCCAGTATAGCTCAATGTGTGAGAGGTACGCAAACCTTCGCACCAAGTTAAGTTGCAGTCTCGTCGCGACGAGTGTAGATTAACCAAAGGAACTCATTTCGATGGAACTCGTAGACGCAGTATGACGCTCCAATACCGGCAATGACAAGGATATCACAATAAATAAGGTGTGATTAAAGATGTAAAAGACGTAAATACTTGGGCACTCACTGTTGACGCTCGCGGGTTTTGAAAATGATGAAAGCGAACTAATTCCGCCGATAGTACTCCTTTTGGTGCATATTCCAACAACAAATATATTCTTTTCTTGTCATAAAAGTAACTGTAAAGCCTTACAATACCGGGATGTCTACGAAAATAATGCAATGAGGACTGACTAACTTTAGGTGTGACTGGATCTCAATCTCACGTTGCAATTGTTGCATTCTTTCGTATGATGTCATTTCACTTCGCACTAGCATCTAAAAGGTATCGGATCAATGATTTGAACAAACCTTCAGCGCTACCACAAATCGACTTCTCTTCTCCCGAGCTAAGTACACAGAACCAAAGCAACCTTCACCCAGCTTTTTACCTATATCCAGATCACTTAACGACCACTTGCGCGTGCTGTGCCTTAAGAAAAATGCTGCATTGAACGTAAATTACCTCAAAATATGCTTATGCCCATGGAGTTCTTCAGTCATTTCTTTTATGACAGACCGTGAATCAGCTGACGTTCAGACGACAAGGCATCACTGCGTCAACGCACTAGTTGAGTAAGGTCACATTCCAAGGTCGAACGACCGTCTCACGATACCACAGTGGAAAATAATTTGTTTGGTTGACTGTACAGGTGAGCTGTATGTCCACTAAGAGCAATATATTCAAATTTATGATATATAAGACAAATCAACATGCATTTGTTGGTTATCCTTGCATGACGTTTCACCTCAGAAATATAGTCAAAAGATACTCGATAATTGTCCGTGTGAAGGCAATATGAAATGTTAAACGATATCGATAAAGCTTTCGCTTCTCAAATTCGACGTTCATATTTTACGTTCCCTACTAACAAGGTGAAACAACTGCAGTATTGACCATGGCATTATCTTTCGTCAGGGGAAGATCCCACTAATAAGTGAAATGTTGTTGCGTAGATTGATTTCTCAAAGGTCGCCTCGGTTGTCAATATATATGGTCATATAACGGAATCAACTTTTTCAGTACATTTACCGACGATACGATTTCGGGGCACACGTTAGTTTCCGATTTGTGCAGATTGCGTTTAAACGTATAACATTGATCATGCTGCTTACTGTCAAACCGTCATTTATATCGGTACACCTAGGTTCTTGATGGAAGATAAGCAGGATGTTCAAGGAAAGTAAATCTCGGCTGTTAAAGTCAAGCGGCTTCTGAAGCCTAACACCACTGTGATGAACGTATGCTTCGCATCACCTACTTGGCAAGAGCCCTGATTGCTTTTCCAAAAAGCATGAAAGCATTTGTTTAACACACTAAAAGATGTTTTTCGGTATTATATAGAACTCGACAGTAGTCATAGCTTGTAGAACGCTAAGGTGTTTCACACGCAGCGGCTACTCATTTTAGACCAACCTAGGTGATCATCAACGACGTGTACCTGCAAATTTGTCGGCGTGTTATGGTTCTGACCTAATTATCCTTGTTGCAGTTTTGTCATCTGAGACAGTCGCCTGCGCTTTCCTAAATGATAAGTTGCTCAACTTTGCATCGCCTTCATGGCCACTACCTGATAGACAATCACAATTATGAAAATTGTAGAACTCACTAGGAAACCAGCGCATTCTAGCCAGCAAGTACTACCCATCAATTTATCGGATGGCTGAAAGGTTGTAAAAACTACTCGGTCCGCCGAAAATACATTTTTATTCAAAGCTTTTTTTGCACTATATGTAGCGCATCTTCACACGAATGGTTGCTGCTATTTCCTATGGACGTAAGGAAGGCGGCTAAAAAGGCCCAGCATACACTCCAACTTCTCTCATATTTAGCTTGCAAAGCTGAGCTTCCACTCAAAACCTACAATTTTTGGCTAGTACTGGGGAAATCCACAGACTACTGCATGCAGTGTAAACCGATATGCCAGCAGCTTTCTAATGTCCTTTTAGCAACAGTGACGCATGGGCCAAATATGCGGGATTGGGCGGTGGCGTACTAAGCTCGCCGACGAAAATGGCACCCCACCAACCTGCTACGTTGTGTCAGCAAATAAAATAAGCTAATATTTTAGGCAGCGGGTAGGCACACACAACGCTTAACCCATATTATCGTAAGCAGTGGTGCATACCACATATGCAAAGATTTAAATGCCTGGGTTTCACGAGCGGAACTACGCCTCTTCTTGTTTTATGGCATTAAAGACACAAAAATCTGCGTGTGCAGCTAATGAGCTTCCGTGCGATGTAACCATAGGACGGACTCATAAACGGCAAAGTCGTCCGACAGTTCGACGGATTTAGGTATGCTTTGAAGTTGTACATCGTAATTAGATTACAAGTCGCAAGGTGGGCTAACCATTCAATAAAGCACTAGACGAATGTTTCTCCTTAGTAGCACACGTCATGTTCATGCATTCCCAAGGTCTTCTATTTTAAATCGAATCCAGGACAACTAGTGGGTTCCTTCCACTAAGCAACAATTTATGCCAGCACGCTATGGGGACGATATCCAATGATTTCCTCAGTTACTATCCAAACTGACGTCTATTCACTAAGCAAGCGATGAAAACTGCGCGCGCAAGGAATGCATTACTTTTGTACCCAACCCATTGTGTAGAACACCTGACGGGCGTTTGCTTTCGTCTAGGTACACCTGGAACATAGTTCGAAACAGAAACTTAAAGCGAGCATTGCTCCGAGGTCCATTATGCAGTGTTTGACTATGATCATTCTACGACCAGATCATGGTTCAAATCCTGGAGAGGAAGTCGTATGCAGGAAGCGCATGTCGGTGTCATAAAAGCAAACTTGTACGCGTCAAGCTTGTGGGCCATCGTCTACATGCAGGTCTCTTATTCAAGGAAGGCGTCATGTTCAAGTACTTCGCTTTGGTTTGCCCACGTCTCGTTTATCCCACGCACAGTTCTATTTAGCACACGTTGGCTAACCACGTGAGCTTGCAGTTGAATGGTGGCAATTTGTACCTTCATCGATTTAATTGTACTGCGCGTGTGTGCGGACAGTTATAAACCTAGCTCCCTACTGGTGCTGCTCTTGTCTGCTCCTTCATCGGGACCCAACAAATTGGCTTCGCGTGTTACCGTAGCCTTTGCATGCTACTGCCGCTTCACAGTGCTGGAATGACTCTGCGGTTAACCCAAATACAGAAGGCTGTGAAGACTGGAAAATTAGCTCTTCAATTATATTGCTGTGCCACTAGTTTTCGATTAATCCGTGGCGCTGAAAACGGAGGATACATTAAAGCCTTCGCGCTTGCACCTCGGCTCAGAGGGTTGACGTATATTTGTTGCCCTAGACCTGAAGGAGAAACCCACGTTGAGAGATACCTTATCGGCCCTCGCTAAACATTTGGGTGTTTTCCTGAACACATATACTTCTCGGTACAATATTTTGCATCTGAAACAAGCACCTGATGAAGCAGTAAATGTATTCATTTCCCGACTTGTTTGTTCCGCGCGATAGTGTGACTACAATAGTATTCGCGATAACAAAGGATGAAACAATGCTAATACAACAAGTCATTTCTGGTCTCACCGGTCCTCGGATCAAACAGCGTCTCATAAGAGAGAAGGCAGAAAAACTCACATGGGGCAGGGTGTGTGCGTTGGCTTGCACGAAGGTCATTGTCACAGAACTAAACAATTTCCCCCCTAACGCAAGGCTACTGAAGTTGACCGTTTGGATTTTACACCACCTCTGACGGGTTCCACAGTAAGAAATAAGCGTTATCATTGTGGAAATGCCAAACTTCAAAAAATGATAAGTCATATCCTGCAAAGCGTGAAAGCTACCGGAATTGCGGTAAGACCGGCTATGTTGCTCAAGTTTGTCGTTCGCGTGCCATTTAATTATTTGATGCTGCAACTGACTCTGGAGCTTCTCCGGTCACCAACGAATAATCCATATATGGCGTTGATGAATCTGAAGATCCACTTTCTTCGCCAAGTCAAGAACCCACGCTGCCTTCGCCAGATATTCATCGTATGTTTTCTGAACGTCGAAACAAAGCCATTTGTCAAGACCTGGAACTTAATTCCGCTTAGTGAAGCACAGTTTTGCTATATAGCTTTACAAACAGAATTTTATTCAGCTAACGGCACATCGTTCTGCTCACGCTTGCAGCAGCCACTCCCATGATGAGGTCCTCACATTCGGTTTTGTTACGGCTTCAGTGTTTCTTATAAACCGGGAAGAGCATAGTTGAATTGTACCGCCCTAAAACGGATAGTAAGCCTCTATTTGGACGTAATATCACTGTCTTATTACACCTAGCGCCATGCGTCAGCCGGATGACCATTGCCAGCGTCAACCTTCATTCGTTACATTCCAGTTACCTACATCTCTTTCTCCGGATATTGGTAGCGTCCCAAAAGCAATGCCCTGCATTCGGTTAAGCGCGGATTACAAACCGTTCAGCATTGCTTAATCTAAGCCCGTACCTCTGGCCAAGCGAGTAGCGCTGTCGAAAGTGATGAAAATATGTTCACGGAAGACTTGTTGGCACCCATACAGCGTTCTGAATGAGTTCTTCCTCTAGTCGCCGTTCAAAAGAAAGATGGCGCAATTCCTGTATGCACTGACCTTCGAGCGCTTAAGCGACATATACTTGTGGACAAGTTCCCTCTACCTTCTACCCACGAGTGGATGGGTAAGCTACCAAAGGCCAGCCTTTTCCGAAAGCTGGATATCCGCAGTGCATACTACCACATGCCACTGTCTCTAGATTGCCGACATTTGACTGCTTTCCTTACGCAAGAAGGTTTGTATCAAAAAAAGTGCTCTCCATGTGCATTAGCAATTTCCCAGCAGCTTGGAAAAATTTCATTTCTATTGTTAGCACATCTCAGAGGACGTGTTGTGCATATGGGGGATATTTGTGTCGTTGGTGGTAACCCCAAAGAACATCAGGAAAATTCTCATAATTTGCTGCATAGTCTGAATGAACTGAGGCGCCACCTGAATACCAACAACTGCCCATTCGCTGTAACGGATGTCGAGCTTATTGGACATGTTTTTTCTACCTCGTGTGTTAAGCCAAATGTGCAGAACACCGGAGTCATTTTTGATTGTTCAGAACCATGCAACGGTACTGAGGTGAAACATGTTTGCGTGTATGTGCATATTACCTTCGACATTTGCCAAATTTTGCGACTATTGCTGAGCCGTTACTAAAGTTGAAGCGCCAAAACCAGGAGTTTTGTTGGGCCACTGAGCAAGCCACTGATTACGTGATCGTGCGATGATGGAATCCACTCCCACGGTAGCGATCTTCAATGAACACTGTCCAAAATTTGTTTCAACGTACGCTTCAGATGTTGGTTTGGGTGCAGTTCTGTCCCAGCTGCGCGAAGGCGAGGAGCAAGTGAATACGTTCGCATTAGGTACCAAGTCTGGTACTAAAAGAATTTATTCCACCAGTGAGAAAGATTCCCTTGCATGCGTTTGGGCAGGTGAAAAATGACACTTTTGCTTATTTGGAACATGATTTATTTAATGAGCCGATCCTTCTGCTCTTACAACGCTACTGTCGCGGTAACAAATGTCAAAATTTAATAAGCTTGAGTCGCTGGCACACACGTCCATTGAA